TGCTTATGCAGCCAAGACATCATTTCTCCCTTTTCAATCAAAAAGTACCTCATGAAAGTGCTGATGATCAGTTTTCTGATTGAAAAGATGTTACTTTTTCTTTGTTGGTGGGAAGGCTCATTCTCAGACAGATTGATTCCTTGGTGTTGGGAAAGTTTATTCCTAGGTACTCATGTCCCAGGTTGGGGGAAATGGTGAAAACAGCAGTTAGGCCAAATTAGGGCAACATGAAGTGGGGTCAGGAACTGAGAAGAGACTTGCTATTCATAACCAATGTTTTCAGTTGTATACAGTTTGTATACTTGCAAACAGTTTTAAATTTTGGAGGTATCAAATAGGGGAAAAAAGCAAATGCTTTCGTCTTTGTTCATAAAAGTGTGTTTTACTAAATTGCTGTAAGTTATAGATAGCTTAAGAGAGAAAGTTTCCTTAAATCTGGAAACAGAACATTTAAATAAAGAACCAACAATGAAAGTTATAAAACATTATCAGTTATTTAACTTCATGTAATTAATTTTTGCTTTACCTGATCTTAACTAGCAATTTTATAAACCCATCAGATTTCTTATTAGAGTTCTGAAAAACTTTAATTTTGTTCATTGATCTTAAAATTATTTGAAATCTCTCTTTAAGAGTACCTGTTAGAGTCTTTTCTATCAATCTGATTTCAGATGCCTTTAGAGAAAAATCAAAACTTCTTGCAATTTTACTAAGAATCTAATCAATACTTCAAGAAAATCTTGTTCTAATGTAAGGGAAACTTAGTTCTGTACTAGTGTCTTTTTAATCTCAAAGTTTAATCTTTAGAAAGATTTAGCTAATTCCCTTCTAATTATAGACAGCTTAATCCTACACAAAATTCTTTCATAAATTCACCTTTCACAAACAATTATTATGACTTATTCAACAACATGCTTTTTTTGGACTTTGTGTTTTGCACTGTACTTCCTCTTTCCTAAATAACCAGTCATTTTACTCTAGGACAGAAATTCGTTACACAAGATGCTTTCTCATATAAAGGTATTCTCTTTTCTGTTTAACTTTCCTAACCACAACTGTGTCTTCATACCTGTAGCTTTATTCACATCTCCTCTCTTCTCCTACATACTTGTTCCTTTCTCATCAAAAACACATCTTATATTTCTTGGTACACTTACATACAAAATTATATATACTAATTAAAATGAACTAATTACCTCCCAAAGGCCCCACCTCCTAATAGCATCATGTTGGGGGGCTAGGATTGCAACATATAAATTTGTGGGAGACTAAAGCTCCTGATAAGAAGCTTGACACCCATCTCTCTACCTTCCTCAGAGGGCAGGAGCTTGTTCTGTATGTCTCAGAACCTTCTCAGGGGCTGGCCAGTTCGCTCACTTGGTTAGAGTGCTGTGTTGATAACACCAAGGTCAAGGGTTCATATCACCTCACCGGCCAGTCCCCCAGAAAAACTAAACTGCACATTGGAGTTACCTGAAAGTTAAAAAAATATTGATATGCCAAAAAATTGATCTCATAGAAGTAGAGAGTAGAATAGTAGTTACCAGAAGCTGTGAAGGCTGGGGGGATGAGGGGGAGGGAGAGGCTGGCCAATAAATGTAAACTCAGAGGTAGGTCGGAAGAATAAGTTCTGTTGTTCCACAACACTGCAAGGTGACTGTAGTGCACAGTAACTTACTGTATCTTTTCAAATAGCCAGAAGACAGGAGTTTTGGATATTCCCAACACAAAGAAATGATAAAGATTAGAGGTGATGGGTAGACTGACTAGCTTGATTTGATCATTGCACAGTGTAGGTATGTATCGAAATATCACTCTATACCCCATAAATATGTACAATATTTTATGTGTCAATTAAAAAAATAAATTAAAAAATATATCGCTATAGCCTGATCCCACCTCAGAGATTCTGATTTTGTTCCTCTGGGCTTGGCATGGCCTTGGGATTTTTGAGAACACCCCTGATGCTATTGTGCAGCCCAGTGTGAGGACCAATCTCTGGAACACTCAGCACAGAGTGTCTGGAGCTGTGGGCAGAACAGCAGACCCATGAGGGAGGCAGGGGAAGGACACTGAAGGAGGGGCCGTAGATGCCCACAGTCAGCCAGTGTCACAGGCTCGCATTCTTTCCATCGTAAAGTATGCAGAACTGGTCTTACCAAGGCTCACTGGACCCTCTTCATTCCTCTGTTAATGATCTTTGCTTTCACAACCCATTTCTTAACCCCTGGGAGGCTCTTCTCCAAACTGGTGCTAGGAGCCCCTGGCTCCAGTTTGTTATTGTTAGAGATGGATTATCTTTTCTCTCCTTCTTCCTTCCAATTTCTAGATTGGTAAACTGCTATCTCACTTCCAACTTTTGCCGAGGCCTCTTCTCAGTTCTAAGCACCACCCGGAGCCTAACTGAATTGGACCTCAGTGACAATACTCTGGGAGACCCAGGGATGAGGGTGTTGTGTGAAACGCTCCAGCACCCTGGCTGTAATATTCAGAGATTGTGGTAAGTCCCCATGCTTGAGCATCTGTGTGTGTGAGAGAGAGAGAGAGAGAAGGAGAGAGAGAAACAGACACTGGAGAAAGATCTTAGGGACTGAATTGGTGGTATATTAGTTTCCCGGGGCTGTCAAAAGAAAGTAGCACAGACTGAGTGGCGGCTTACACGGAAATTTATTTTGTCACAGTTCTGCAGGTTGGAAGTTTAAGATCAAGGTGTTGACAGGGTTGGGTTCTTCTAAGGCCTCTCTCCTTGCCTTGCAGATGCCATCTTCTCCATGTGTTTTCATATCATCTTTTCTCTGTTTGTGCCTGTGTCCTAATCTCTTCTTACAAGGACATCATTAGATTAGATTAGGACCCATGCTAATGATTTCATATTAACTAAATTACCTCTGTAAAGACCCTATCTCCAAATACAGTTATATTTTAAGGTTCTGGGGGTTAGGGCTTCAATATATGAATTTTTGGGGGGGCGGCAAATCATCCCATAACAAGTGGGAAGGCGGAATAAACTGGAGTCCAGTTGTTTGGGAAGTTTTGGATAGGGAAGAATGAAGGAGAACTGACAAGAAAGCCATTTCTTTTTTTTTTTTTTCATCCTTTTTGAGACCGGCCACAC